AAATCGGCGGCCTCCGAAGTGGTGCGGGTTTCATGCTGACACCCACGGACCTATGTATGGTGTACTGGTGCTTTAACTGGAGTGTAGTGAATAGTATCCCAGTTGAACTTTTTTTTTTTTTTTTTTTTTTTTTTGAGAAAATAACCCCTCCAGTGCTAGTGGTGCTGGTAAGGGCAGACACCGCTAGCACTGAGGGAGAGGCTCCATCTATTGGTGGGGAGTGTCACCTGCTGGAAAGCGGGTCCAGCGTCCCATACAGAATGAAAATAGAGGATAAACCTGCCAGCATTGATTACTCTGGGGTCCAGAGGATTGACTGAGCGGGGTATATAGAAAAACAGGGGAGGGAACCTCTTCACCCCATGCCGGGCGCCGGATATCTGCTGCTGTGAACTAGTTCCTCCTCGTGAGAACAATGAGAAGGGCTCGACTCGTCTGAGGCCGAATAAGGTAGTGAAAGAAGGATGGAAGGGAGGCTGGGGAGGTTCCGGGAATCATGGTCACAGTCATGGCCACAGTCACCCAAATGACACAGCGCCTTTGTAATCTACCTGCTGCTGTCCTGCTTACTCCGCTCCGTACCATTGCATGTCCACAATAGCTAGTTGGTGGGGTGACGGTGGCCGTAGCAGGATCTCTTGACCCACTGTTGTCCAGTCTCTGAAGCAGATCTGATAGTCCTTCTTGATCGTCACCCGGTTGCCATTTTGAGTGCCTTCATTGCCTTCCTGGGCGCGACCGCCATCCCACCTGATGAAGGCAATTCGGCCCCCATTCTCGCCGCCCAGCCAGTCCCCTGAGAATTGTTGGATTGTTTGTTTGATATCTTTCTGTGTTTGAAACAGATCCAACTGATTTTTTACTTTCTGCCATTGTGCCATAAGTTCTTGGTGTATATATTGTTTAATCATGTCTGTCATTTCCTCCCCGGCTATGCGGACCTCTTCCATAGCGTGTATACACCGTCTCCTCCAGATGGCCCACATGACGGCTCTCCTCCCTATCTTAAACATATTGCTTTCAAAGGTGCTACCCGAGGGAGAGGTCCATGCCTCACATAGTATCGCCCTCCAGTCCCATGGCCAGGCCGATCCAGTGTCCAGCAAGTTCCAGATTCTGTCCCACCATCGCCATGTTAGGACAGCCCCCGAACATTGCAAGAATATGTGTTCTATGGTTTCCGGGGTCTTGCGGGAGGGGAACGCCGTGTGGCACGACTTGCACCACGGGAGTGCCAGTCCTTTCTGTTCCAGGTACGTGCGATCTATTAGCCAGTCATTGGTGCGGAGGCAGCGGTGTTCTATCTGCCACTGCATGGACGCAAGGTTTGCGGGCCTTGCCCTCGTGAGGGAGAACCACCGAATGGGGCGGATGGCCTCAATCCCCACATGTAAAAGATACATCCAACGGGATTTCACAATGTCCTTCAAATTTACCTTGGGGCGCAGTAAATGGTAGGTGGTCTTCACCGTTAGGCTGTACAACTTTACATTCTTTGTTTCCTGGGTTCTGCGCGCGGGGGGGCACTGCCATTCCTCGGGGTCAAAGGGAAGATCTGCAATACTGGTCTCCGGCTGGAATGCTATCCAATCACCCTTATATCACATATCACCCGGATCCTGTACAGATCAGTATTCCTCCACCATCTCGTCCGGGGTGTATCTGGTTAGCCTATTGTCTTTCTCTTTGTGAAAGAGGTTAATCAGCGTTCCGTCCATCCGTACCATCACAACGTTGCCAACACTCTCCGGGTCCCCGGGAGCGGATACCCAGTCTCCTTCTACCAGCCTCTGTCCTTTACGCAGGAGGCACACTCAATCCAGGGGGATTGCAAAGATCAAATTTTCCAGGTTCTTTTCTATGTTGTGACAATGTTTCAGTAACATCCTCATTTGTGGCTCTGTTTTCCAATCCTTGTTATCTGAATCCCAGATGTCTTTAATTCTAATTATGCCTTTTTTGACCTAGCTGTTCCATGGGGAGTCCGAGCTACGGTACACCCTTCCATTACGGTCAGTGATATTTTTGTTCCCGAACAGGGGTTGTTGTGCTACCTCCTCCCACCTGGTTGGTCCGGGTCTGTCTGACCTGGTTGGTCCGGGTCTGTCTGGCAGCGGGAGTTGGCGCCAGGCTGTCAAGCAACGAATCCAAAAGTCATCTTTGGCGAGGTCGCTGCGGGCTTCTCCCCGGCTCGGAGACTGCCCAGTGCGGGGGCGTCGAGGTATGGCCCAAAAGCGGTCTTCTAGCCAGGTCAGGGGGGTTACTGTTTGCGGTGTTTGTGGAGCTAGTCGAGCGATCTGTTCCAGCGCCAGGGCATACCAAGGAAGGTCCCGTGTGAATATCAGCCTCCTAATCCACTGTACCATCAGTGCTGTGATCTGGGTGCCCGGATCCAAAATTCCCAGGCCCCCTTTTGTCCTTGGGCTGGATTACCGACAGCCGCGCCACCCTGTTGATCACATTTAGAAGCTCGCTGTTGCCTCTCCACAGCATAGCCGTTGTTTGCCGCTTGAGCGACCGCTCTGCTTCCTTGCTATGTGCCCATATTGCGGATTTGTACCAAAGGGCGGCCAGCACAACACTGTTGATCACCAACGCCTTGCTAATTAAGGAGGTATGTTTGTCATTCCAACGCGCCAGCTTTTCTAGGGCGGGTTTAAGGATCCAATCAGCATTCGATGCAGGTTTTCCTGTTGCTGTCAACATAATTCCTAGCACGCTCAGCGGGGCCGTTTCTGGGAGCCATTTAACCCGTGGCAGCTCCGGAAGGCGCGCCCCTTGGTGGTGAATCCACCACCCCAAGGTTTTGTTTCCTGAATTAACTGTCATGTCGGAGACTGCTATGAATTTGTCAAAAAGTCGTTTGATCTCTTCCATGTTCTCGGTGGTGGCGTCCATTATGAGTGTCCGATCATCAACAAACGACGAACAGATGGGGATCGCTTCTTCTGGGATGGCCGATATCTGCAGCTTCCTTAGGTCTTTGTTTGCACAGAGGTTCGCTGCCAGTGCCTCCATCACAATTATAAACAGGAAGGGTGCCAAAGGATCACCTTGACGGACTGACCGTTGCGGCGGGAATGCCGGTGCTACTTTGCCATTTATCTGGACGCTTGTGGTTGCATTCTGATGCAAGATTTCGGTCCAGCGGCGGAAGGCCGGTCCTATATTCATTTTTTCCATGCAATAGTCCAAAAATAGCCAGTCCACGTGATCGTAAGCCCTGCCTGGTTAAGTTGAGCAGTTCATTAACCAATAAAATATTATTTTGGATTCTGCGACCTTTGACAGAGCCTGTCTGTGTCGGGTGGGTGATCTGGTCTAAAACTGGGATCAGACGGTTCGCTAAGGCTTTCGCTAGCATCTTATAAACAACCTTGAGTAATGTTATTGGACGGTAGTTTTTGATATCCATCCTATCTCCTTTTTTGTGCAACAAAGTAAGGATACCTTGTCCCACTAGCTCCCCCATGCTCCTTGTCTCCCATACTAGTCGATAGAATTCCATGAGGTCTGGGGGCATCGGGGACCAGAAGGTTTCCCAGAACTCCTTGAGGAGTCCGTCCGCCCCCGGGTTTTTTTCATCATCCATCTGCATCATCGCTGTCCAGATTTCTTCTTTGGACAGAGGCTGATCCAGGTCCATTCTTTGCTGGTACGTCAGGGTTTTTCTCATTGGTTTCAAGAATTCTGCAATTTCCTTTTCTCTAACGGCCCTCTCTTGTTGGGCACTCCTAGAGGTAAACAGGTCTTTGAAAAAGGACCTTGCTATCTGCGTGCATTGAGGTGTAGAACAGACCACGTCTCTGTGTTCCGCTTCTAACGTTGTTCTGTGCGTGCGTGCTCTGTGCAACCTTCCTTTTGGTGCCGTGTCATTTGTCCTCTGATACATATACCTTCTCAACGTTGTGAGGTAAAAGTTTGAAGACGTTGTTGTAGGACTTGCATCTCTGAGTACCCTTCTGGTTGTGTGTGTTGGTTACTGTTTGCATTATTGTCTGGATTTTTAAACTGGTCTTGTAGCTCAAGTTGTTGAAGTTGTTGGTGAATGACCATCTCCTGTTGATGGCTTCTGGCCGCTAGTTGTTTTGAATATTCTTGGCATTTCTTCCCCAGGTAGAAGAGACCGTTGTTGAACGAGTCTATTTCTTGCGGGATATGTTGTTTCTATGCTTGTCAAAAAGTCCAGCAGTCCTTGATATATCTCCAGAACGTTTCGTGTCGTAAGATGGAAACATTAAGTTTATAGAACCCGGGCCCGTGGTCGGGTTTCTTTCGAAAGGACAAGATCACTGTGCACATTTTATGGTCGAGCCCCGAATATAGACTGGCCAGCAGTATTGCTGCCAACAGCAATGCCCTTGCTAGATCCTCCGGAAGCAGGATCAAGTCAATTCTAGATCACGTCTGGCCTTCGGTCCCAGTCTCGCGCAGGGATGAAAAGAAACGCTTGTCTGGATTAAGTCTCCGGAAGGAGTCGAAGACGTTTAGGGGCGGGGGAGGGTATCCTCCATCTATCTATCCAGCGGTCCGGGGCCACATTGTAGTCCCCAGCTATGATGACCGGAACGCCGTCCGGGATTTGCGTCTTCATTTCCTCAAAAAAAATTATTCTCTCGCTCACTGTGTTTGGGGCGTAAATACATAATATGCGTACAATCTCTAGCTCTAACGTGACCAGGATTGACACCCATCTGCCCCCTTCCTGGTCAACTGCCCAGTGCACCGTGTCTGCTCGGGATTCAGGGGGAATCCAAATGGCTACCCTCACACTCCCCGGTCTCGGGGCATGGACTCTGAATGCTCTATATGGCCAGACCAATTTGTGGATGCGATTGTGCTCCGGGGAGTCCATCAGGTGAGTTTCCTGGATACACTACATCCGGCCGGTCCCTGCCCCCCACCCTTCTCGTCAAATCCCATATTGCATTCTTCTTTTCGGTTTTGCAGGAGGCAAGGCCGTTTACGTTCAGGGACCACAGGTCGAGGTCTGCCGCCCTTCGGCATTGGCTCGAGACACGGTCTTTTGCATATACTGCCTTGACTGGGTCCATTTTCGTGGCAGTGGTTATTTACAGTCTGTTCCATGACAGCTGTTCCAGGTCCCAGTCCGCAGCTCCCGCTCGGAGGCCCAGTCTGAGAAGGGCGCATAAGCACCTCTGGATGTCCTGTTCTGTCCAGGTCTCGCTGGGTATGATCCTAACTGTCTGCATGTCCAGCAGTTGGGGATGAGTGTGCCATCTCAAGCCCGCCTCCTTGGCTGGGTCGCAACGGATGTAAACATCTCTTTGCGAGATTCTGTTAGGGTCAGGTGTCACGGAGGCTGTAGCTTGTGCCCCGGGTGGCATAAAGTCTGCGATATGCGTATCCAGCTGCATTTGTAGGATCCCTGCTGCTGCCTCAGATTGGCAGTGCTGCGGCCCAGCCCAAAAGGAGGACCAGCCTTGCAACGTGACACCTCTTATTTTGCCGTTTTCAACAGGTGTCAGGCCGACCTCCCATTTCCCGTTTTTCTTTCGGACCGAAAGCAGCAGCACCGCCGCTTGCGACAGAGGCCCCATGTCCTGGCCCATCTCAATCAAATGTCTTAGTTTTCTTTTTCGCACCAGGTCCAGTGGTGTGTTCTCATCCGGGTCTGGGGGAGCCGGGTCCGGTGGGGGAGCTTGCGGCTGAAGGACAGGCGGGGTTTGTATCTCCCCCGTCTGCTCGTTTGCCGTTGCAGTCTGCGTCCTGCTGTGTCCTACCTCCTCTGCTGCAGCTGAGTGCGGTGGCTGGAATCTTGCAAACACTATAGAAGCTAATCTGTGCCACGCTTCTGTCCACCTGACGCCGGGTTGCAGTCCATTTTCCAGGACATTCTTGAGTGAGGCACTCATATCCAGCATGGGGAATAGATCTAGGTACGTTTTGTCCCAGAAGTCGTCTGTGAGGGGGCTTTTTTTTGCTTTTAGATTGGTCATCAACCAATCCGCAATGCTCACCAACTTCTGTTCCGCAGGCAGGTGCCGCGGTGGGGTCCCTTTCTCCTCTTCCCCCTCACAGGGCAGACCCTCTGGCACAGCGCAGGTGTTTTCGGGGAGAGGGTCGATGTCCATTAGTTTCAGGTCAAAGGCTGCCTGGAAGGGGTCGATCTCCACCATCTTTTCTAACCCCTTCTGTCCAGACTCTATCACCATTTCGTCCCCTTCCGCTTGCTCTCCCGTCCCTCTCCCCCCCAACTCTAAGCCCGGCTGCTCAGTAGGACTGTTTATTACCACCGCCTGCATGGCCGTGTCATCTGCCCCCTGTCGCCCCGCCATGTCATCCGCCCCGTTTCACCCTCGTTTCTTGCGGTCTGTTGTGGGGGGGGCTGCTGTTCCTTTCGGTTCTCCCGTTATCCCTGCCTGAATCTATGGTGCTGCAGCCGGGCCAGGGGCCGCCCTGGCGATCATTTCATCTTTATCTTCATTTTGATCTTCCGGCTTCAGCCCAGGTTCTGCTTGCTGCATTTGAACCCATCTCCCTCTCCCTCCCTTCTTTCCCGCACTCCTCCATCCTGTCTCTTCCGAGCTCCCTTTCAGGGGGTTCACTTTTGTGTCATGAACCTTTTCTTCTACCGGCGCCGGAGGGACCCATGTGTCCAGGGGATGTGTCTCCCTCTCCGGCTCCCCAGTCCTCTCCCAAATCCATCCCACCGGGGAACCTTCTTTTGTGCAGTCTTCCACAAAAACCCAGCCTTCGTGCCCTGGATCCACTGTTCGCCAGTGAGTCACCTTGATCGGGTCCCTTAACAGCCTCCCTGTTGTTCGCACCCTTTTTGATCCACTGTTCGCCAGTGAGTCACCTTGATCGGGGAGCCTTCTTTTGTGTGGTCTTCCACGAAAACCCAGCCTTCGTGCCCTGGATCCACTGTTCGCCAGTGAGTCACCTTGATCGGGTCCCTTAACAGCCTCCCTGTCGTTCGCACCCTTTTCTGCGGGTGCTGCGGGCAATTATATTCTGTGCTCAGATGGCCGCATGCTCTACACTTGTGACACCATGGTCGCAGTTTATGTGCAGTGTGAATCATATACTCCTTTCCCCACACCCGATATGGAATCACATCGTCGAGGGAGAACAGCTGACCCTGGGGGAAGTCCAGGGCCAGCATCAGGTAGTCATCCCTCTTAGCCACATAGGAGGGGAGGGGGTCAATGAATGCAACACCATCGTATAGCAAACCAAAATCATATACAAATGTCGCCTGGATTTCGACGGGGATATGGCGGAATTCAACCGAATGGAATTCCTGCATCAACCTGCGCTGTGGTACCCACGGGTAGATCCGCACCTCTGACCGCTCACACCGGAGGCGTTTCCAGCCATCGATCACCCTTTTGTCTACTTCATGCATGGAGAGGACTGTAAACAGGGTGTTTGTAACTGGTTGTATCAAAAATTGATCCCGGGCCAAGTCAGCACTGTTCTTCAGGATTTCGAGCCGGCGGCCAATCCATTTAAGAGCTCTTGTGGCTGACTATTCCAATTACTATTGTTATCTGTAGGTCGAGAATTAGGGAATGACCATCCCAGTTACTATATAGTTCGTTGTTACTATTGTTATCCTCCGGAACTGGAGGAGAGAATGACTATTCCGGGAATTACAGCTTAGCTCCAGTGGCTCACTATTCTGGTTAGCGAATGACTATTCCATTTACGAGAGCTTAAATGCAGTTTAGTTTAAGCTTCAGTGGCTCACTATTCTAATTACTATAGTTATCCTTGAACCACCAGTACGCCGGGGCCTGGCGGCGCTGCACTGCGCGCCAAGCTTTGCAGAACTGCCAGCGGTGCGCCTTTTTCCCGTTTTGGCTAGCGCTGCCAGCCATTATGGTCTGGTAGCCCTGAGCCTCTGAAACTTTGGGAATAGGTGATGAAGAAATCTTGCAAGGCTGGGGCCGTGTGCTGGCGGCTTAAACCGCCAGTACGTGCCGCAAGCCATTGTGGCCCGGTAGCCCTGAGCCTCCGAAACTTTGGGAGTATGTGATGAAGAAGGCTTGAGAGGCCGGGGACGTGCGCTGGTGGTTTGAACCGCTAGTACGCGGCCCCAGCTGTGTGGAGATTTGCTTGTCACCTACTCCAGACATTTTGCACCTAGGTCCTACTGGACCACAATGGCTGGCGGCACGAGCCAAAAAAAAAAAGTGTGCCGCTGGTTCGGAAAAGCTTGGCGCGCAGTGCAGCTCCTTCAGGCCTGGCCGGGTACGTACTGTCGGTTCGGAAAAGCTTGGCGAGTAGTGAATGACTATTCCATTTACATAGCTCAGCTCTAGTGGCCTACTTATCCCATTGTCTGCAATGTGCGAATTCGTACTCCGCGTGCAATGTCTATGCATTACCCTTCTCCCCCCTCCGCCCACCCCCAACCGTGTATGTAGCATAATGATAGATCCCTCGGATAGTGAAGATCTCTCTCTCTCTCTCTCTCTCTCTCTCTCTCTCTCTCTCTCTCTC